GTTGCGCTATTTGTTTTTAAAATTTAAAAAAAATTTAAAATTCTGATGATACCTATCGCTGTCAGATTCTTAAAAATCTTCCAAGTTTGCATCAGTAATCTTAAGAAGGTCAGTGTCCCTCAGGCTGAAATGATGAGCTCCTGTTTTATTATGTTGACCAGAATGTATTCAAAGTTCAGATTCAGTTTTAATACAGAGGCGTTAAATGGAAATATTGCATTAATATTGTGGCGTTGCTTTTAAACACATGGTCTCAGATGTAATTGGCCTGATATGAATAAAAGACAATAGTTTTTTTTTTTCTCAAAGATATTTTTATTAAATTGAAGTAACAAAGAAAAACAGATACACACAGAATTGTTAAACAACAAACACGTAGGTTTCACGATGACTGTTTGAACTGAATCAGGATACTTTATTAACCCCGAAGGAAATTATGGGTTACAGCAGGAGGCATGCTAAATCGCACATGTGCATTTACAAAGGAACCTTATGACCAAACATACTTTAGGGAGACATGTCAGACTGATGGGAAAAAAACAACGAAAATACACAACATGAGGTGAGAGGAGGAGGGGGGAAAAAAACCTCCACTCAGACTGAGCTCCTAATGGGAGAACAGTTTGAGAACAGAAAAAAACAATACACAAGACTGTCAATACACCACAGACACACAAGATAAGCAACAGTGGTGGGTAAAGGGTGAGGGAGAGCCGGTGTAGACGGCGCATGCTTGTGTGTGTCCTTGGCCCAGCCAGGCTAAGTAAACAGTCTTCCAGCCGACCCAGGTGGCTTTGCGTAGGATAGGAAGGAACAGAAATAATAGAATACAGATTAATGACACTCACATATCTTGTAATTGCGTTAAGCAGTTTACCCCCCTACCCATACCACATATTAGCCCTATCCCTCAGGACAAGTACAAAAACAAAAACCAGAAACAAAAACAAACAAACAAAAAACGCCATCGCAAGTACAACAGGACAAAGCAGAACAAAATAAAACAAACACAAAAAACATATAGGCCCTTTCACAGCGGAAACAGCATGTGCTGCTAATGCTAACTGCTAACTAAAAGCCAAGGATCCAGAATTTGTTGCGCTGGCTGCTGAGCTCTGTGGGGTTTTGCGGCACCTCTACGTGCACTAGATGCGCCTGCTTCCTGTCGTTTCCATCTCTGTTGAAAAGGCTCTGGAGTAGCCCGTACTGGGGGTCTCTGTATAAGCAGGTTAACCTGTGACACAAAAAATAACCGATCTCGGACACACACAGACTGTTTTCCTTCGTGGTGATGAAGGGAATCGCTGGGCTGGCATGTAAAAAGGCATTTATTCTTTTAGGACCTGCAGCTCAGTAAAGCACCCCTCCAACAGCCAAACCCATCTGTTCTCTGATTGAATTGTTAATAAAATTGAATTGAATTTCGCCAATTTGGTCAGTTTTCAGGATACAAGCTCAACCTATATAAGTGAGTTGTTTCCTGTGGATGGAAGGGCACCAGTGTATGACTATACTCCTCCACTTTAAAATAGCAGGAGATCAGTTTACATGTAAAAATATAATGATATGCTCTGGCAGACTTGGCTCTATGGTCTTAAAGGGTTAAAAAGTTATGCATTAAGGTGCTTTCCTGCAGGAAGGTGTAATGTTGAGAGTAAAAAGTCCTAAACTTTAATTTTGGAAGGTAGTCCACAGCCCATTGTGTAATATGGGTGCACATGCCTTTGATAGTCAGTTTATTCTGGCAGTGACTCTTGTTTCCTGAGGTTCTGCAGAACCTTCGATGTGCTCCAAAATCGTCTGTCTACTACCCACCTTGCTTTTTTACAGCTCCCCTTCAAAGAGAGCAACAGACGGGTGCAGCCGTCTGTCGCGGCTGAATTTAGTGATTATGTGAAATACTTTGTGTTATCTAGTGAGGGTCACATGGTTTAGTGTCCATCTAAAACAAATGGAAAATAGCCAGTGTGTTTGTGTCTTTGCTGTAGAGCCGCGTTCCGGGTACCGTCATCCCCCTGTGTGCTGCTCAGTGTGAGAGGATGTTCAACACAACACGCACACCAGGAGTCGAGACTGGTAACAAACACACACATACTCAGAGTAGATGCAGCACATAAACATGCACTTTGATTGTTGCAGTTGTGTTTCTCTCGCTCAAGTGTCTTTAATAAGGGAAGCTGTTTCTCTGCTAAATTCTATTAATTGGGCATATAATAGAAGAATAGCATTCTATTTCTATTACCTCACTGAAGCAGGATATGAGGATATTGAAGTAGCATTGTTGAAGTATAGTATTGAAGTTCATTATCAGGTACTAAATTATCATCGGAGGCTGATGCGCTCTTACACTCAGACATGTTTTGCATGTTTCCCTACTGTAGGGGTCTCTGCAAGCATACAGAGGGGGTACTCTGAGAGGGTCCAAGATGACAACTTTGGAATTCTACTAGAAACAGTCGATTTGTTTGTCAAAGCTGAATTCAGGGCAAACTACGCTAAATTAGCGTTTTTAGCTAGCAGCTACAATAAGCATAAAAGTTACCTTACGGCTATCATTTGTGAACATGACGCTTGTTCTTATACATGTAATACATTTATTACCAACCTGAGAGTTTATCCGCTGGTCATTCGACATGACGAATGACTTCTGAAGTCTTAATTCAGCTCAAGATGCTGTAGATTCCCGTCAGTAACACTTTCGGTCCGCTAGTAAAACGTAGTTCTATTAATCTGAGCTTGAACCGGAACTGGATGTAAGTTCCAAAAAATTGAATTTTGGAATTGAAATTGAATGGTGAGAAGTGAAACTGAAATTATTCGAGAGCTGAATTTTTAAAGGATAAAATGCAGTTTCAAAGCAAATCAATTCATTTTCAAACCATAAATTCAA